TAGTTATGTGTGTGTGTGTGTGTGTGTGTGTGTGTGTGTGTGTGTGTGTGTGTGTGTGTGTGTGTGTGTGTGTGTGTGTGTGTGTGTGTGTCCTGTATCCCATGTGTGTGTTCATGATAGAGGTTTGGAGGAAAGACGATCTCATCCCAGGGAAGATATCGCTCCGTCACTGAGACTCCCTTTTGTCTCTTACCTCATCCTGTCTCTGGGTTAGTTTATATAATAGTAATAATAATAATAATAATAATAATAATAATGCATGTGATTTATAAAACGCTTTTCCTTGTACTCAAAGCACTTAACAAGCAAGTAAAGAAGAAAAATAACAACAGGTATATGAGTTAAAAATCTGCAAGACTCTTGAGATAATTTGCTGGGTAATAAAGACTGTCAGATTTAAATACAAATAAAAAAGAGGGTCTTTGAAACTGGAGTTATTTATATATATAATATGAAATATTTTCATAGGCTTACATATTGTTTTTATTAGCATTTACCAGGCCTTTACAGTTGGTTTTATAGTGCATATTTTAAAGATATATATATATGTTCTACTGTCATGTATTTATTTGTTTATGTGCAATGTCTCTATTTTGGATCAATAAAGTATATATAATCTTATATTCATTATTATTTTATATTATAATGAAAATAACTGTTTCATCACTAGTTGATTCCACACGATGGCAGTAGAGCAACACCCAGCAATCTAGCTACCTGCAAATACCAAAGAAAGAAGAAGATTGAATGGCTCTGACGTAAACCAATCAGAGAGCACCTTCTTCCCCAGCGACCAATGGGAAGCCTCCGTGTGAGCGCCCGGTGGATACACAGTTTGTTGTGGTTTTGTGTTGCATAGAAACCTGTGAGTTTAGCGACAAAAACGTGTTGTTTTGACAGTTTTAACGTGTTATAATCCACCCGCAATGAGTCTGTCTTTAAGGTAAACCTCTCTATCTCAAGTACTTCCAGGTTATTTATTCACTACTGGTCATTTTAATGTACGTAAAGCCAACATTAGCTATTCCATGCTAGTTAGTGTTAGCACGTTTGGCTTTAATATCAGTGTTGGAAAAGCTAAGTCTAAGCTAGTTTACAGTTTAACGTTTGATAACTTTAATGTTTCCAACAAGCTAGCTTATTTAGTTGACTTATTTCCTCCTTATTGTTAAGTTTAACGTTCATCTACACCTCTTTTATAGCTTAATATTAAGCATTCATTACTAATATTTGATAATAATAATACTACATTTGATTTATAGAGCGCTTTTTAAGACACCCAAAGACACTTTGCACGGTAAAAATGAATAAACACAAAGTTAAAACAACACACATTAAATATATATAAAACACAACGTTAACTACAGATTAACAGAGGTTCTGAAAGAGTATTGATTGGGGATTTAAATGTGTTTGTATGAAAGGTAAACAGGTGTTTTTCCTTCATCACATGTTGTTACTGATTAGGAATTCACACTGGTGAAAGAAAAAGGATGTATTGTTGTTAAGTACACATTGTATGTACTTGTACTGCACTTGAGTATTTACATGTTATGCTACAAGGAGGATAAGATTGTTCTTTATTTTGCAGTACATTTGTCTGACAGTTTTAGCTACCTTTCTTATTAAAGTCCCTTTCCTGTACAACTCGAGAACAAATCTCTTCCTTCTTACGATGAATAAAAAAGCCTAAAGCATCAATGGTAACATGAAACATGATTGTAAAGTATAGACATTTCTCTGCACAGTCAGTGCTTCAACTCCTACGTATGAAGTTAGCTTTTGAGAGTAAGACTTTACTTGCAGTGGAGTGTTTTTACAGTGAGTAAATTATTCCTGTGTAACTCCGACATGTCTCCTCCCAGGACTGATGTGGCTGCGGACAAAACAAAACGCAAGAAGAGGAGAGAGCTGAGCGAGGATCAGAAGCATGAAATCAAAGAAGCGTTCGAGCTGTTCGACACCGACAAAGACAAAGAAATCGACTATCACGAGCTCAAGGTAAACAAGGAACGATAAGAGACGGATACGGTGAGGTACTATAAAGTTGTACAATATAGTGAAATATGTTGTTGATAAAATGTCTCAACACAACACGTCATTCTGCATTATTAAGTAAAGGACACTAGACCTTCGCCCTCATGCTTTAACCCTTGTGTTGTGTTCGAAAGCTGTTACCGTTCATGGTGTTCGCGGGTCAGTTTTGACCCATGATTTATCTCAGTCCAAAACACACAAAAAAAATGACTATCATCCAATATTGTTTTAACTACATCATAACTAACTTATTATGCATTCAGAACCGTACAATCCTGCTGTAATTTAATGTTATGGCCCCAAAACACATTACACTACATATTGCACAGATGCATGTGCGTGTTCAGGTTCAAGTGTTAGTGCACATATTCTTTGAGACGTGGAGTTGGGGGGCAGAGGGAGGGGAGACCAGGTGCATGTTGGCAAAGATTATTGTTACAGTTGATGAAGGAGGGGTGTCTAAAGTCAAAGATGAATCTTGAATCGGCCAAATTTGACCCCGAGTCACCCAAAACAACTGCTGGCTCTCCCCGGACCCCAACACCAAAAAATACACCTTTTTTTTTAGAGACCCTCAGACTCTAAATGGTCAAAATCTGTTGTGTAGTGTTTATATAGCCTCAGTGGAGGACGTCATGAAGCCTTGTTCGATACAAGAAACTAGAGGGTAGTTATTATATAATTTGAACTTGAAACGGGTCACGGGAGACCCCAATACAACATAAGGGTTGATGCAGTTTACAGCTCAAGACCCTGAGTGTGTGTTTTGGGTATCATAACCTGTTTCATGTAAAACGTCATATCCTAAAGAAGATCAAAAGCAGGATATTAGATATCTGTAAAGTTGTAGCAGTTGACATACCGTATGACCCCATTTCTAAACCCCAACAGGTGGCGATGCGTGCGCTCGGCTTTGAGGTGAAGAAAGTCGACGTTTTGAAGATCCTTAAAGATTACGACAGAGAGGGGAACGGAAAGATCACTTTGGAGGATTTCAATGAAGTCGGTGTGTGTGTGTGTGTGTGTGTGTGTGTGTGTGTGTGTGTGTGTGTGTGTGTGTGTGTGTGTGTGTGTGTGTGTGTGTGTGTGTGTGTGTGCGCGTGTGCGTGCGTGCGTGCGTGTGTGTGACCTCTTTAACTTCTTGTGGTTATTGTTTTCCGCAGTGACCGACCGGATCCTGGAGCGAGACCCGAGAGAGGAGGTCCTGAAAGCCTTCAAGCTGTTCGATGATGACGAGTCGGGGAAGATCAGCCTGAGGAACCTGAGGAGAGTCGCTCGAGAGCTCGGTGAGAACATCAGCGACGACGAGCTGCGAGGCATGATCGACGAGTTCGACGGGGACGGAGACGGAGAGAGTACGTAAACATTACCGAGCTCTAAAAGGTCCCCTCTTCTTCATGTCTCTTCTACATCAACATGTGTCCCCTCTTCTTCATGTCTCTTCTACATCAACATGTGTCCCCTCTTCTCCATGTCTCTTCTACATCAACATGTGTCCCCTCTTCTCCATGTCTCTTCTACATCAACATGTGTCCCCTCTTCTTCATGTCTCTTCTGAAAGTTTCAGGAACAAAGATTCTCTCTCTTTTTGATCCATTTCTATAAAAACCTGTCTGAAAATGAGCTGATCAGATTTTGCCCACTTTATGATGTCATAACGATGTGTTGTCTTGTGTAACCATTAGCCAATCAGCAACCAAGGTAACCCCCCCCCCCACCTTTTCACCTGAATCTCCTCTAGAGCACCATTGAGTTCTTTGTAACCAAATCTCTCTCAGAGGGGCGTGGGGAGGGGCTCCTTATTTTCATCTAAAGTAACAGACAGAGAATCAGCACTTTGGAAACAGGGCTGAAACAGAGGGGATTATGGGTAATGCTGCAATGATCTGTTTGGTGTTTCAGCCAATCAGAGACAGGCTCTGGATATATCTGAGACCTGATGAAAAACAGTATGATAGGGGACCTTTAACTGAGACATTAAAATCTACTCTCAATGTGAAGAGAAAAGCCAAAACCGAAAGATATCTGACAAAAGCCCGATTATAGTTTTAAACCGAACTCCACTGTATTTTATAGCAAACTTGTTTAAATATATTTAAATGTATCTTTTAATTTATATCAAATGCAGTGGTTTAAATCAAGTGTTGCAGATGTGTAATGCCCCCTGCTGGTCTCTAGAGGGAGACACATGTTATTGAATGTGTCCTTTATTTTTTCTAGAACCATGAAATGCTTTGGATAATAATTACACAACTATTCAATTAAACGATAGGTATAATGTAAAAATGAACTTTTTATTCCTCAGTAAATCAGGAGGAGTTCCTCTCCATCATGACCGGAGACTCCTGAGGAGATTCAAAGAAGCTGAGGACGTCTGCAGCTGATTGGTCGTCTACAGTGACTGAAAAGTGTGTGTGGAGGAACATGAGACAGATATGGACTGAAACGACTCTTTGGCCTTTTCATTCACACTTCATTCATTACTTTAAAGCGTGTCTGAAGTGCTCTGTTGACATCAAGTGTTGTTGACTTTTATATGATTATATCTTCATAAAAACTTCAGCAAACCTTAAAGAATTCAGACTGAGAGACGTGCGGTGTTAGGGTAGTTGATTTACTTGTGATGATTTGTGTAGGACAAACGTATTGTTGAGTCTTTAAGTTTCACACATTTCATTCTGGAGGTTTTTTGACTGCTTGTTTTTGAAGTTTTCATAACGTGAATGTTTCAATGTGCTATTTATTTTGTATGAAAATAAATCGTTTTGCCAAGAAGTCTTTTTTTAAACACTTTATTCATGACCTTTTTTATTTGACACCCCAACGGCAATACTCTGTTCGATTCCTGCTGCACACAAACACTATAGCCAATATTAAACATACTGTATCTCAAATGATGGTTGTTTTGGGTCGCATTGTATGTCCTTTTAATAGTTTTGCTTCTCTTTTTAGTTTATTTGAGTCCTTTCTATAAAATCCCTATTAAAGTTATATCATTTAAAAAGTAATTTTGGCAAATTTTGTTAAAGGTCCCATGACATGCTTTTCTGCATGTAAACGGTCTGCAGAGTCACAAACCCTCAAAGTACACCCTGTAGCGAGTAAAACTCTAACACAGAGAAGACCTGTCTATGCTGCCCCAGAACGCCTCGTTGGACATTTCTCTGTTTCCAATCCGTGGAGCTCCTCGCAAACACACACTCTCAGCGGCAAAACTGTGACGCGCTGGTGGGGTGGGGGGTGCTAGTGGAGCCTAGCAGCGGCGAAACTGTGATGCACTGTCGGTGCGCCGCGTTTGGGGGTGCGGGTGCTAGTGGAGCCTCGCAGATGGGGGTGCTGCAGCCCCCTCAGCATCCCCTCCTTCCCTCGTCCATTCGCGATGCCTCGCTGTCTCGCAGACCCCACGCAGCAAGCAGGACATGAACCCAGCTCACACTGTCCGCTCGCCAACACGGCACCCAGACCCCACGCAGCATTCTCATCTGTTTCTCATTACTGGCATTTCCTGGTTGCTAACAAACGCCATTGAAACACATAATCACTGATGTTCCGCTGTAACGGTGGTGCACTCATCAGAACAGAGTGGGCGAGCTGACCAATCAGAGCACAGTGGGATCACAGAGGGAGGGGGGCAGGAGCTCCAACAAGCCGTGTAGGACAGAAAGTAAATACACATATTATAGAGAGATGCTGTATGAGAAACCAATGTGAGTTTGGAACAATGTCAATCTATTCTAGTAGACCTCAACAATGGAACTATGATCAGTAGAGATGGCCATGACATGGGACCTTTAAATTACCTTTCTCTTGTATTGATTGTGCAGTCAAATTAAAGTAGTATTTATTCAAGGGTGTAATAGAAGTTAAAGTACTAGAAGTGAAAGCATTGCTAGTGTAGTGTGTATATTGTAAAGTACATAGTTAAAGTACTTTAGTACAGTACATAATGAGTGACACTAACTGCAGGGAGTATTTTGCTGTGTGTCTCAGACTGAAGGTCAGAAGTACCTCTGTTGATTATCGGACTCTGACTGGTCTGAGATCACACACACACACACACACACACACACACACACACACACACACACACACACACACACACACACACACACACACACACTCTCTGTACCGTGCCCTTGCTCCGGCACATGCTCAGCTGTTGGACCAACAAACACACTGCATACACTCTTTCCAGAAATAGACCAAACCAGTTCCTTCCCAGTTACAACCTCAGAGTCGCCCCCCTGTGGTTTACACTGTATACACACACACACACACACACACACACACACACACACACACACACACACACACACACACACACACACACACACACACACACACACACACACATTATTTTCCAAATGAATATACAAATACTTGCAAGACAAGTTGATCACTATGAAATGTAACAGTGTTAAGAAAAAAAAGTCTGTTGTAGTTTAATTTACAATATATGTTTTTGATTAATTAAATGTATGTATCTACTTGATGAAGAGACGCTAATTAGCTTTTGGGGGGGGGTTCCCTTTGGTTTACTTCTGGAACAAAGTGACATGTAGCTCTCGCACTCCTATTGGCTAGTACTCAAACACATTGTACGACTATATATATCAAGCTGAATATCTCCTCTTTAAGTGCAGCAGTAGTAAAGTACATGAATACAGCAAATGTATTTGGTCGCTTCCCACCTCTGGGGTTTAATCGCTTTGTGGACACTTTGAATAGTTTGTTTCTACCTTCCCGCCACAATAAGATCCCGAAAAAGTCTCTGATACCCGCTACATTAAAAGCCCGAGAAGCCTCTGATACCCGCAACAATAAGAGCCCGAAAAGTAGCTGACACCCGCCACAATAAGATCCCGAAAAAGTCTCTGATACCCGCCACATTAAAAGCCCGAAAAGTCTCTGATACCCGCCACAGAGCCCGAAAAAGTCTCTGATACCCGCCACATTAAAAGGCCGAGAAGTGTCTGATACCCGCCACATTAAAAGCCCAAAAAAGTCTCTGATACCCGCCACATTAAGAGCCCAAAAAAGTCTCTGATACCCGCCACATTAAGAGCCCAAAAAAGTCTCTGATACCCGCCACATTAAAAGCCCGAGAAGTCTCTGACAGCCGCAATATTAAGAACCCAAAAAGTCTCTGTCACCCGCCACAATAAGAGCCCCGAAAAATATCTGACAGCCGCAATATTAAGAGCCCGAAAAGTCTCCACCGAGTAGGCCTATTTAATAAGAGACAGAGAGGTGTGAATACCCAGAATCAGAAAACCTTTAGTAGTCCAAGACAGCTTCATGTTAACTAAGAAGCATGCATACACAAATATTAAAGATTAAGAATTGGTTTTCAGTACTGTACTCAAGTACTTCCCCACATTCCCCCCATGTGTTGTCAGAGTCTGTGTCCAGCTGTCAGTCATTAGGCGAGGCATGCAGACCATGTGACAACACTTGCCCTCCGAACCCCCTCAGACGGGGTAACATTGAGGGAGGATCTGTTTACCGGAGGCAGATGATATGGGACGGCATTTTGAAATTAAAGTGTCTCCTGTTTCCTTCATTTAGAAATAATGCACCCAGGTATTTAGCTAATTGGCTGTTAGAATAAGGAAACTGTATCTGAGGATTAAGAGATACACACACACACACACACACGCACACACACACTGAGAGGAAGATGTCTAGTTTATGGTGTGTGTCCAGGTGGGGGTCGTGACTCTTGACCCCTGCTGTCAGAGTGACCTCAACCTGCACGGAGACCGGGAGAGGAGCGGCGTTTTTGAAATATTTCGCATTTTTTCTTAGTGTTATTTATTAAATGAGGATTTTACATCTATTTATTCATGATTTTTTTTTATTTTCTGTTTTATTTTGCATATTCATGAATCAAAAATATTATAATTGATATTAAAGAGGACATATTATCCTGCTGATATTCAGGTTTATATCAGTATGTAGTGTCTCTACTTTAAAGAGTCCTCTCCTGCTGATGTTCAGGTGTATATCAGTATGTAGTGTCTCTACTTTAAAGAGTCCTCTCCTACTGATGTTCAGGTGTATATCAGTATGTAGTGTCTCTACTTTAAAGAGTCCTCTCCTGCTGATGTTCAGGTGTATATCAGTATGTAGTGTCTCTACTTTAAAGAGTCCTCTCCTGCTGATGTTCAGGTGTATATCAGTATGTAGTGTCTCTACTTTAAAGAGTCCTCTCCTGCTGATGTTCAGGTGTATATCAGTATGTAGTGTCTCTACTTTAAAGAGTCCTCTCCTGCTGATGTTCAGGTGTATATCAGTATGTAGTGTCTCTACTTTAAAGAGTCCTCTCCTGCTGATGTTCAGGTGTATATCAGTATGTAGTGTCTCTACTTTAAAGAGTCCTCTCCTGCTGATGTTCAGGTGTATATCAGTATGTAGTGTCTCTACTTAAGTAAGTCCTCTCCTCGTCAACAAAACGCTGTTCAGTATTTTCAGGAAGTAAACAAAGGAGTCGCATTTAGATGTTATGCCTTGCAGACAATCTAGCCTAACACAAAGCCTCTATAGTAACACTAGCAGGGAAGGGAAACGTCCAAAAGCATAATACGGTCCTGCGTTATTATGCTGTATTTTAGGGTCTGCTGTAACAGTAAGTTATGGAGGTTTTTGAAAGTGTCTCGACAGTGGAGCGATGATTATATGTTGATCTTAGCCAATAGCAGGGTAAACTCTTCCAAGGAGATGCTTAGGATTGCAGAGCAGCTGGCGGAGCTCTTAGGATTAGTTTACACTCGCTCAGGCTTTTCAACCGAGACTCTATCTCCCCGAAGAGAAAACCCACACACAACACAGCGACACACACACACACCACACACACACACACACACACACACACACACACACACACACACACACACAGCACACACACACACATCTGAAAACCATCGATACTCAGACAACCTCAAGCAGCATCCAAGAGATACTGCAATATATTTCCAAATTAATGTAAAGTCAACATGCTTGAGGAATTATTGAAGTCATTTCATTTGAAGTTAAAAAGAACTTAAAAACACAGTTTGAATCAAAGTCAATCAGTAAACTTTATTTAATAATATTACTTTTCATACACACAAAGGTGCTTCATAAACCCTAAACAAATTGAAAAATGATTAAAACAAACACTTTTACGACCAGAAAGTCAATAACACAGGTCTCGAATAAAACAAAGAACTTAATTAAATGTTATTCAAATTCAAGCTGGTCTTAAGCTTTATTAGTATAGAAGAAGTCCTGGTAATTCATATGTTACTTAGTCAAGTAATATATAATGAGGTAAATGAAGCTTCAAAGTAGTAGAAAGTAGAAACAATGTCAACGGTATCCTTTTAAATACATAAAAAATCACATAAGTTAAAGAATAAGAGTGCCAATAAAAAGTTACAGGTTTAAGTACGATTTCATCATTTCTCACTGCTGTATACACTGGTTGGGGTTTTCATTTATCACAATACATCATATTTCTAAATTGTATAGAAACTAAAAACTGTTAATAACATCTGGTGCAGTGGAAAGTAGAATATTTTCCCTGTGAGATGTTGGGTAGTTACAGTATTGCAGACGGGCCACAGAAAGAAATACATTCTTGGTTTCCATAATAATAAATACTTTCCGGAATTTTTTCTCTGCAACATCTGTTTCTCTTCAGAAGGAGCTTATTCGCTTCTTCTCAGCCGGGGGGGGGGTGTTTATGTTTCTCCCACACCTCATCCCCCTCCGACAACTCTCTGCCAACAAAA